TAATCAAAGTTGTGTTTTGTTATTACATCTTGAACTGCTATTTATATGATATCATCAAAATGGGACGGCCAAATAAATGTGCAAATATTTTAAAAAAAGCTTGTAATGCAATCAATTGTAGATCTCTTACTATGACAAATAAAATACAAATTACAAATATAACTAGTATATTAAATAATGATCAAGAAATTACAACTCAAAAAAAGATTAGAAAAAAAAAGATCCGACTTAATTGATAATATTAAATCTCTACTTGATGATGATATAGTTGCTGCTTGTCATCTTTTTAAAACTATGACTTATCCAAAGGGGTGTCGTGTAGGAAGAGTTCTGTCACCTTATATTGTAAATAAAGCTAAAGAGTTTGTTATTGCAGGATTGAACAAACAGACCTCTTCTGTTTCAGAAATGCAAGATAAAATTAAACAATTGGAAAAAGAAAATAAAAGATCGCAAAAAAATAAAGAGAATATGGAATCATGTGCCCGATCTCTTAGAACAAATGTAGCACAAGGAGAGAAAGCTAAAGTCAGACATATAGGAATGGTTCGAGCTATACAAAAAAAAAATAAATATATTTCACAAGATCAGTTTAGGAAAGAAGTAGAAAAAAAAATTAAAATAAACAAAAAAGAATACTCTCCAGGATTTATGAAGTTTGCAACTGATATTAGTAATACAGGAAGTATTTCAATTTCTTCAACTGTAGAGTGTGCAAAAACAATATATACTTTCTTGACAGGACAAGAACCAGAAAAGTGCATTACAACTAGTACAATATCACATTGGAATAAAGAAGTTGCCCATTTGCTTGTATCCCAAAAATTAAATGTTGAATCAAAATCACGATTTTTTTCTTATGGTGTAATGGTAGATGAAAGCACTAGGGGGGATAAGAAGATATTTTTAGTATGTTTTGCTTATTGGAATAATGATAAGGAAGAACCAACACTTACATTGGCAAAAATGAAAGATATTGATTGGTGTACTGCAATAGAAGTTGCAAACACTGTAATTGAAACATGCAATGAATATGATTTTGATACTAAAAAGTGCAATTTTTGGCTTACAGACAATACTGCCTATATGTCTGGAATAAAATCAGGTGCTGTTATAGGTTTTAATTTGAGATCTCAATCCAGAGCTTTTCGAATTCCTTGTGGTGTACATTCAGTACATATTGCAGTTAGCCATTTTGAAAATGAAGCTTTCGGAAAGCTTAATTCACCTTCTGGATTATCACTTCATGACCATCCTTTTAATCTCTTAAACTTGGCTTATCATCATCATGATGGTTATAAAGACAGTGATAAAGACAATCCAATAAACATGAAATCTGAAACAATTAAAACCCTGTATTGGACATTGTTCCAATATCCATTGAAACAATATCAAAAACCTATTACCAGTCAGTGGTTGTACCAATTAAAAACTGCCAAGCAATATTTAAAGAGGAAAGAATTTCACCTTAAATTCGCAACCTGGTTTGTTAATGAATTGGAAAATTCAAGATCAGTTCCTAAAACTTATATCAAAAAATGGCAATTGTTTATTGAATGGTTACAAAATCCCATTTTAAACATTCAAATAAAATTCATGGTGAAATTTGGAGAATCTTTTTATGAAAAAGTATTTGTTTTCCTTACTGGATTTGATCCAACTCCTCGAATATTTAATGATGGATCTTTACATTGCCTTCCATTAGGTAATAGAGCACACGAATTGCCAGATCAAGTGTTAATGTGGCTGAGAGAATTAGAAGAATCTTGTTATTTCAGTGAAGAATATAATGAAGCTAATATTACACTTCTTGAAGATGAATTTGAAAATCTTAACCTTAAAATAAACCTTAGAGTCAAAAAAGCTTTAGAAAGCTTCTCCAAATGGATGGGACACTGGACACACTTGCCATTAAGTATTTGTCGTTTGGGAGGAGATTACGGTCCAGAATTTGCCAGAGCAGTTGGTTTCATAATTTTAAATAAATCTTTTAATGTTGAATCAAATTGGCATGAGAATTCTTATATTGAATCTTTGCAAGGTGATCTTTCTCATGGATTAATAGAATCATTTGGTTTATTCGAAGCATTAAAAGAACAAGATTTCCTTGAGGAATTTCTTACATTCACAGAATCAAATCCTTATTAATGAAAATTTATATGTGTGATCAACTATGTTTGTAAAACATATGATGTGGGACACCCCAATAAGTTATGTCTTACAAATCTAAAAATAACAGATGTAAGACTCAAGGTAGATTCACCAATAACCCTAAACAGTATATGCAATTTTTAAACTGGGATAAGTACATGCAAAGAAAAGATGAAGATCACATAACTATAATAAATAAGGATATGCAAGATATGAAAGTGATATTTGATTATGTAGAGCTATGTAGGTATTTAGAGGTAAATAATCTTGATTCAAATATTCTCAACATATAGCAGAAAATTATCAGATATGTGTAATAATTAATCAGCTTATTTTTTTGAATGAACATGAAAAACTCAACTATCTGGTTAGTTTTATGGAATATAGTAAAAAACAAAGGACAAAAATAATGTAGGTAAATTGTTAGGTGGAGGGGAGGATACTGTCAAACTATCTTCATCACTTTCATTAGGTTCGAATTAAATAGCAAAGACAAATCAACAATTAAGATTCTCTGCAAATTAAAAAAAAATTTAGATAAATATTGTGGAATAAATGTATAATGGAATATAAATGAATACCTACTTGCAGTAGCAACAAAGTCTCTATAAACTCATATATAGTTTCACTGTTATCCATATATTGTGTTGGAATACTTGCTGATCTTGAAAGATAAAGACAGCTTATACCTTCATGATCTTGGATAAGAACATACAGGTTGAACTTTTGCCCAGCAACTTGGAACCCAAGAATTCCAAACTCATTTTTTCATCTAATTTACAACCCCTATTCATCCAATATATGCCATCATTAAGTTCCCACCACAATTTTACTCTGTTGTCATCTTTTTTTTACGTTGCTACAAACAATGTGGGAACATTCAGCAAACATTATTTCATAAATTCTATTTGTATGTTTCGCTATGAACATAATGTCTGGATGCTTTCTATTTTCCCTCTTCTGTCTTTGCTAGCCAAGCTTTGATGTTCTACCCTGTAATTTAAGAAATATAAATAAAAAATAATATAAAAAAGAAATAAGAGTATCTTACATGCTAATATATGCAGATTTCCCAATCAGCAGATCTTTTAATGTCACTTGAATAACAGGGATAATAATATCTGCTACATATGTTCCCTCACTCTGTGTTTTAGCAAATTCGTGACTAAAAGCTGGATTTTTCCAGATCTCCTTCCTATAGTATAAAAATGTCAGTATTGTATAAAAAATTATGAACGGATTAATATTGTATAGATTTATTGTCATACAAAGTATCAAGTATTCTAAGTGCAATATCCCTAAGAACTTCTTTCTTCTCCCTCCAATTTTTATATAAAAGCTTTTGTGAAGGTATCTCCATAGAATCGTTGTCATAGTTTGCTAAAAATTCATCACATGCTATTTTTATTGTGTGAGGGAGGGTGTCTGCATATATTTCACCAGTTCCTAATAATATATATTTTGTTCTTACCATGAAATACTTGTACTCTTTTTCATTTCATTATTGAGAATCTGACTTGTGAGTGGATTGCACCATGGAAGTTCTGAGGATTTAACCTTGATTATGTTCTTTCATAAAGTTTTGGCATACTGGGCTTTGCTTTTTTTAAGATTCCCTTTCAATATTTGCAGATTATTTTCAATCATTTTGGTGGGTAGTTCTTCTTCCTGTTCTGCAATCTCAAAATCGTGAAGACTGCATACTCCTTCAAAGGCATCATCGAACTAGTGCAGAAAAACTTATGTTAGATACAGTTATGAATAGATCTATATTAAATCGTGTGCACACATGTCAGATTTTTATCATGCAAATTATCAACCATGTGTGGTCAGTACATAGTATACATGATATGGTAATTAGTTAATTACTGTAAATACGTAATTCGTAATTAACGTAATTAATTACCACTTTCACTCTTTAAAAACGTAATTACGTAATTAATTACGGGTGACGAAACTAATTACGGGAGACGAAATTAATTATGAATAATATCAATAACAACGAATTAATTATTGGAAATATCATAATACAAGTCACTCCTGTTATAACAACACTCTCCGTAAAAGCAAAAAATGTCAGTATGACGAGAATGTCATTATAACGAGAGTTCATATTAATATAGAAGTCATATGAGAATCATTATCATGTGATTTTGTAATTTTATTTTTATTATATATTTTTTTTTTTATTTCATTCATGTTTTATCAGGAAATTTAAAACTTACGCTGGGTCAAAATTGACTAGCATTATACAGAAGTGTTATCAGAATTTTCCGTGATGCTGGTCAATCTTGATCCCGGTGTAAGTTTTATTTCCTTATGTTTTTTTCAGAAATGAGAATGATTGGTTCTCCCATTATACTGACATGTTGTTATAACAGAATAATTTCTATAATTCTAAAAAAGTTGACAAATTATGTCATTATACTAGTATAACGAGATAAATTATAGGTGTCATTTAATTTTGTCATTCGTAATTGATTTCGTCACGCGTAATTGATTTCGTTACTCGTAATTAATTTCGTCACCTGTAATTAATTTCGTAATTAATTTCGTAATTACGTATTACGTTTTTGGCAAAATAATTACCATCCCATGTATAGCAACGATCCTACCTCTAGGGTAAGGATGGCTCTATGACCAAATCGTCGCAACTCTGAAGGAATATTAAGAGAATCAGCAGCTCGTTTCAAGCACAGGAGGTCACAATTCAGAGCAGGGTTGGTGGCCCTGAAATTGCATTTGGGCTCTGATGTTAAG